CACAAGGCAAATAATGTCAGTGTGACCAATATCTGTTTTATGAGATCTGTTCTGAAGGGGCTGTCACACTTCTTTCAGCATTCGAACACTGACAGATTGATTGACAGCCATGGACCCCAAAGGGAATGCTGTTAAACATTTCTCAACAATGTCCTGTCAGAATGGTAAAAACAGGTTGTCTTCTCTTATGCGCATAAAATCAGTAGAAGATAGTCCAAGGGGTTTGCTCATAGTGTCCGGAAAAATCATATAACTGGAACAGATAACCCAATAATTAGCTTTGATGATTAGTGCGTGCTGTTGTGCTGTTAGTGTGTGTTTGTATGTAAAATCCGACCATCCTGAACAGGTACGTATGTCTGAGAGTGTGTGAGTAACTGTTGTAATAGTCAGAGTAGCCAAATTTAGAAATAACATTTTCAGTCTTATACATTGTGACTTAGTTCACTTTTTTGCTGTGCTTCTCTCATTAACACACGCACAAGTGTGAACACTTAGAAAGAAATTTAATCTCATTTTGCTATTTGCAGCATTTGAATAATTAGTCAACTCCAGAAATCAGATAATAATCTGATTCTGTGTGCATGTAAATGTAGCCAGTGTGGAAGACATGGCAGAAATCCAGTATACAATCAATAACATTAGGAGTCCCACTGACACCACACAATACAATGACTGTAGAATAGAAACCACAGGATCCTTAGATTTGGCACAAATAAAACTGGGAATATTATGGGTGTATCATCTGTGTACCGTCAACTGAGACAGGCTCTTAAAGATCATTGGGTTTCATTGGCATTGGATTTGCACTGGCATTGTAATTTATTTGTTAAGACGCTGACCCTAATTTTTACTATTTTAAATCATAAAAAAAAAACTGGTTTAAATTTACAATGATGATTCCAAAAGCGCATTTCAAAACTTCCACCATGGCATCATGCCATTGCTCAAAAAAAGTCTGCTAAAAGTGCTTCAGTGTTACCTCCTGGTTTGCCACAGATCAAAGCCTTTCATGTCTTTTCATGTAATCTTTAGTTTTCTCCTTCTCCAAGTTGTTTTTTTGTACAAGACAAAATAAAAACAAACCTACCCAGAAACCTCAACCATTACTACATCACTTCATCACTGTTATTTTATTATTCACATTTGTTATTGCTACTGAGTGACCACTGCAGACCAGGAACAACCCACAAGAACTGCACACTTGTCTATCCAGCACCTCTTGCCAAATTTTTTAATGTTTCTGCTATACATTTTTCCCACTTTTAGTTCAAGGACAAAATGCTGACTGCTTTCTATCCTATACTATGCTCTACCTACTGTAAGCCATGTGAAGCAATAGAAACAGCTCATAATATTGCTCCAGTAAATGTGATTCTTTCAGAGATGGTGTAACTTTTCATGATTTATTTTCACAGAATTTAAAACTGGCCAAGCATGAAGGGTTCCCCATCACAAGTTTATAGAGTGGGTTTTGGCAGCCTTCGAAGGTTGGATAGGGTGAAGTCAAAGGTGACAATGAGCTGCAGTTAGAGCCCCTGCAAAGTGACAATAAATAATGACTAGTTGGAGGCCAGGGGTGATCCAGAAATAATATACGACATGACAGTATAGGTGCAGTTATAACAATATGATATTATCAGTAAGGTTTACATGAACAAATATTAACATAATTAATTAACCTAGCCTTTTGGTGGCCTTTCTGTCACCCACAATACTGCATTTGAAAGAAAACCTGGAATAATTTGACCATGCAAAATTCAAAAACTTTGGAAAAGAATTTGGCAATAACAATTTGACAATGAATCACTTGAACACCTTAACCTGCATAATAACTCATCTCCATGATTTGATGAATAGTGTGTTATGCTATAAAATACAAGAAATATCCAGAAGAATCCAATGCCAGACACCAAAAATCCAAGTTATGTTACTGACCAGCATAATATTTCAATAATACAGTCTTAAGTGGAAGTACTATCTATAAAAGTTTAACAAGAAAAAACACCTTTCGTATCTGCTGAGGGAGGATCCAGACAGATTTGGTTCCTCCATAAAATACAAAATTAAAAGACACTGGAAAAAAGAGAAATGTATTTTGATAGTGAACAGCCTTTATAGGCAGTCCACATAAATGTTATACCAACCAAAATTTTATATTTTAAATGTACTTTTTTTCTTATTTGTGCCTTCGGTGCTGAATGAGAACTAACATCCGATTTCTAATGGAGCTCAAAATGTGTTTTTGTTTATTTTATTCTACTGAGAGTCTGTGAACATTTCATTCGTCTCAAACGTGATTAAAAGTTTGCTCAAGTTATTTGAATGGCTTGTTTATGTCCGTCTGAAATACAAACAACACACTAATCCAGAGACAGGGCAAGAAAAGATATAAAGAGCAAACTTGTGTGGATGTAGAGTTTTGAAAATACTATAATGATGTGTTGTGGTTTTGTGTCAAAACAAACATGGTTTACACACACACACACCCACACACCCATGCACACACACACACACACACACACACGCGCACACACACACACACGCATGCACACACACACACACGCACACACACACACACGCATGCACACACACGCACGCACGCACACACACACACACGCACGCACACACACACACACACACACACACACACATATATATATATAAGTTCAAGATGACTGATGACATATGCAGTCTTCATTTTACTACTGATGACATTTACTTCAATGAGTTTTATCACAGTTGGTTGGGGATCCCAGTGTCAGTAACTACACTGAGAAGTTGTCTTTGCATGTTTCCAAACATCTTCCTGGTTTGTGACATAAGTGTGAATTAGCCTATTGCAGACATTACACTCGCTGGCACTGATTTTAAATGCCACAGTGTTACTGTCCCACTCCAGCCCCCAGCAGCAAAGTACAGCCCGACCTGGACACGCCCCCTGGATAACACTTGAGCTCGCACAAAGTCTGGTTGCATAATCTGCTTTTTACCATCATGTTTTCGCCTGACTCGATGTTCACTCTTGTCCAATCATTCTTTTGGTCGTTAACCAAGCCTGGATCAGATCCCGCTGGGAGCTAGGACCCTCCAGGGTCTGCTTCAGACCCCTCAAACAGAACGGAAGAATTCACTTTAGACAGTGGAGACACCTGCAGCCTGTCCAGATCCTCTCCAAAGTGAACTGAAGTGGAAATAAGGCTATTCATTTAACCATGTAGTGAAGAGTCATTGACAAGAAAGTCCTTGGTTTGTTTTGGTTCAAAAGATTAAACCCCTCTACACCGTCTTTAACAGATTTTGCTTTGTCCAGCATTAATAAATCCTTGTGTGCTACATTTATTTGGTGTGTCTGGCCTCCAGTGCAAATCCTTGATTTAAATCACAGATATACCATGATACCATTATGAACAAAATTCTTACAATTTTTTATGTGAGTGCGGTGATGTGTGGTGGAGGATAATTATTGTTTGTTTATTTGTTTGGGGCTCTGCATATTGAACATAGATGATCTACATGTATCTAAATACACCGGATTAATTTTCATCCTTTGTAATGCATTCTCATTCTTACACCAGTATATTTCGCACATGGTGGGTGATGTGCCTTGCCTATGGACACATTGTACACTTTAAACACTGAGTGACCGTACTCTACAATACCTGACATTCCCAGCAGTCTCCCATCCAAGTATTGACCAGGCCCAACCCTGCCTAGAGATTAGGTGAGAGTATTCTCAAAGTGAATATGTTATTAATTGATTCATTCATTATGCATTTACTGCAGAGAACAATTGTCCCAAAATTAGAGTAATACGTTTATTCTATATCACAGCATGTTTAGTTTTCACCTGTTATGTTTTGTTGTAAAATGTTTTACAGCTTTTCACTTAGATTATTCGAGCCATTACCACATTGTCTAACACAACACCTCATAAAAATTGCCTGAAAACATCCCTTTGTACCTGAAGGTAAATATGACGTCTATCTCAGTATTACACTAATAAAGTCACTATTCCCTCCTTGTTAAACAACACAATGTAATGTGAAACAGAACACACCAGAGGCCAAACTCCTGTTTATTATTACTCCAGGACACTTTGATCCCAGCGAGAGACTGAACATGAGGCACACGTAAACATTTTGGGGCCAGCAGGTAAAGATAGCTCTGTGTGTGTGTGTGTGGTCACTGAGAGACACAGAACATATTAACTTAAGTTACGTTCAGTTCAAATAATAGAGTGTTCTTCAGGCTTCATCAGTTCACAAATTCAGAACACTAGGTTTTGTCACTGGCTTTTCTAACAGCTTCTGTAGGAGTAGGCCTATGTGAGTGGCGTGTGCAGGTCATGTCAGGTAACACCCAGTGATAAAACTGAACATGAGCATGGACATGAGTTCATGGTTGTTTGTAAATACAGCCTCCGTTGGTCAGCTCTTTATAACTGATCACTGTCAAGGGTGCGTTTAGTCTGGTCTAGACCAATAAAGGCTGATAAAAGCTTATACAGACTCCAACCACTCAACCAGCTCAAATTCTGCAATATAAATCACTAGGAAAATATCGTTGCGATCTCACCAACTTGTCTTAAACAAGCAATATTCACTGTGCAATAATCGTCTTAAAATGGGCAATTTGCGTCTAGAATGAACCTGCCTTTGGACTGTAATAGCATACTAAGTACTCAGCCTCTCTCTTATCTGGAATCGAACAAAACTAAAATAGAAAGGGTAACTCACAGGCTAGAGGTCATTTAATTGAAGAGTCACACTACATCGTAAAACAGGTATTTAAATCATGTAAACTCACGTCAGTTTACATGGAAGGAGGTTAGTCAGGTGGGCGCAGCACAGACACCATGACGACAAACTTTGCTTCACTCCGGATGAACGAGCGCGCACACGTGACATTTTGATATCAACAGAGAGAGAGAGAGAGAGAGAGAGAGAGAGAGAGAGAGAGAGAGAGAGAGATCAACCCCACACCATCAGTGAACGGAGCCCACAGACGAGCTGCGTGGAGCGGTCAGAATGTTCCTATATTACCCGCTCCTATGCGCGGGGTTCACAGTCACCTGAGCAGTCAGATAGTTTAACTTCCAGCCAGGACCTCAAGGATGTTTCCGAACTTTTTGTTTTGTTTGTGATTTTTTTTTTTACGGTGAATTTTTGGATGATTAATCGCAACAGCAGCATGAGCGCGGGCAAAGTTTTGACCGTTCTGATGGACCTGCGCGTCGTGGTTCTTCTTGTGCACTTGACGCACACTGGCACCAAAGGTAAGAGCCTCTGGAAAACAGGAAGACGTCTCTATGCGTAATAATGCGTAATAATCTTTAAATAGTCTACGTTTGATATGGCTTGCATGTTGTTAAATTGTTGTTAAATCTTGCTCTTACTATATTCTAGGCTAGCTGTGAGATAATTTGCTGGGGGAATTTTAATACAGGCTGTAGAGAAATAATAAACCTGTGCATGTTCAATTTTACAGAGTTTTTTCTTGGTTGTTGTACATTTTCACATATTAGGCTATTCATACTGCGACTTCAACTCATTAATTTAGCAATTCACGTTTTTATACAGCGCGTTTTTATACTTTTTCACCTTCAAGGCACTCAAAGCGTTTTTAACTGCATGCATGCATCAATTAAATTATTGCTTTCTCCTTGCCCATTAATGCTGGGGAGTTCAGCAAACTGTCAAAGCCAGGAATTGACTTGCCAATGGTGGGGCCAGCATGGCAGAGGGTGGCATAGGTTGCCTGGGATGCAGAATGTACACATTTCAATCCTTTACCAAGATGTGTCTCTGGTCACCGGTGAATCTCCCCATTTTAGATGGCTGTGATTGACAGGGACAAGCATGGTCCCTCCACATAAAAACAAATACAGGTATGACAAAACAAGAAAGAAAAATATATCCCAGAGGACTGAAAAACATTGCTGATTTTGGCAGAATCATTGAGCAAAGTACTACATTCTGCGGATATGAGGTGAGAGAAGTGTTGTTTTGTCTGTAAATTGTAGGTGACCAATGAGCTCCTTCATTTCACATGAGTCAAATAAATAAATAAATAAATAAAACATGTACTAAAAATATGTATTCTGAATAAAAATTTTGAGTGGCTGCATTCTGGTAGAGTACAGTCATTTGGTGGTATTCAGTTACTTTCCTTAATTCAAAGGAATATGTTGCAATTTATCTCACATTTTTGAAACTGTGCAGAATTAGTGAATAAAATATAAAACAAAGCATGGCAAAGGTGAGGCATGTGTAATTTAATGATAGGAAATGCGTAACAAATAGTGAAACAGAGGACTGTTTTTAATGCTATGTCGCATTTTTACACTATTATGATAAATATGTAACTTGGTGTAAAAGTATTCCAAGCATTCAGAATACAGTACTCTGATTGGCCCATGTATCGGAATACTTTACAAAATACATTTTAATACAGGTATTCGGTATTCTACAACTAAATACATTTTCAAAGTATTCTTCCCATCATCTTGATGTGACTTAGGGTGTGGTGACCAGACTGATATCTCTCTGTATAAAATTACAAAGCGATATCATTACAGAATAGCAGGCCATGGCATTGCCAGGATTTTGAGATCTGACACTACAGATGAACCGATATGGTTTTTCCATGGTTTATGCTGATATTGATTAGGATCTAGAAAAAACAATGGCCGATAACCTCTGTGTGTGATATGTGGGGCCGATTTTGGTCATTTTACTCAAATTATCTAATTTGAATTCAGTACAACCTCATCCACACCCTTATCTTACTACAAAAAGAAAAAAAAAATAATTAATTAATGAAAAATGTAAAAATGAAAAATCACAAAAAGGGTAGTCACATTTTTGCAGTGTCCTCTATGGACTTAAGTTTTCAAATAAAGCTTTATGCATGTTCTGTTTTTGCATATGAAGGCTGCTGGCATGCACATATCGGCCTGATAAATCAGTCAACAGATATATATCGGTCTATCTGTATTTGACACAAAATTCAGGGTACAACTATTTGGATATAGTATCTATGAATTTTGCCTGATCACAAAATCTAACCAGAATCTTTCAAATATACCTGCTCTCTCTCTCTTTTTAGTGCAATATTTTTGATAAATACTAGTTAGCACAGTAAACCACCATGTGAAAACCACTGAAATGAACAGCTACAGGACAAAATAATATAAACAGAACTATCCTCATTGTAATTTAAAAGAAGACACAAAGCAAAATCAATTTTTTTATAATCTCCTATTGTTACAGTAAGAAAGACAATAATGATTCCTACTTAAATGGAAATACACTGATGCCATAGACTGACAGATCTGACAATTACTGTCTTCAAAAGTTTTTCAAGATGCAGTATAAACAATTTAAAACAGATCTATAGTCATTTTAATAATTCTGTTATTTTGTTATATTCTTGAAGTTCTTCAAACTCATAGGCTGTCCTAGTGTATATAAATAGACCTATAACCCATTAGTCACGTTTCATATAGGAAGTGTACATGGGAGTACTTTTGGCTCCATCGACTCTGGCTCCAGTTGACTTATATTGAACTGCTGCAGTGAGCCTCTTCATTTTGGTCTTAAAATGTTCATATTTTTATTTCACTAGTTTGTCCATAAATAAGTTCCTGTTCCTAATATTGAACTCAGCTCCAAATTTGCTCCCATAACCTCTAGCATTGTGAGCTTTGTTTTACTGGAGCAGAGCACTATGACACTCTTACTGCTTTATACAGTCTATGTTTAAACCCCTTAAGTGTGAAGACATGAGTAATGTTAGGACCAAAATATGCAATTAAACTAGACTAAAGAACCGAAAGATAGTATATGGAGAGTGGAGAAGGTGAAGCAACAACAGAGGGATCAGGAAGTACATAGATTAGCTTCATAAACACCTACCACAATGTTGTAATGACATAATCCCTAAAACATGTTACTATGTTCTCAAGACAAAACAGGAACTTTTGACCAAGATCCTGTCTTACATTCTGAAGAATGGTCCCAATGGTGCCATACTGTGCTCGCTCACTGCTCAGTTTTTCCAGGGGCATTACATGGATGGTCAAATATACAGAGAGAAATTGGTATTAAAATGTATGAGCTGAGTTTGGTTTTTGTAAGCCTGGTTTAATTCTCTGGTTTTGTGTGCAAGTGTGAATGCAGCCATATGTAATTTAATGGTCATTTGCTCATCACCTTTCTTGACATTTTGGGAAGTCTTCCAGGTTATACATTCCATTATAATATACTGTATATATATGCATTGTTTTTGTCTGTTTTTTGGGCATCTGCTTGAGTGACTTGAGTTAGTTTGATGGCACTTTGTGAAATGTTGACATATTGGGCACTCCTGGGAGACAGTGGGTTGCATGCTCATGAAGCCACTGGAATAAAGGGTTATATTCATTCAGATCATGTCCACTGCCTGAATCATCCAGACAAGCTCTTTACCACCTCCAAAACTGTCTATTATAGATATAGAAAGGGGAGGAGAGAGTGTTGGGAAGTGTGTGAGAGAGGGAGGATTAAGCCAGATGCCATTTCCGATGTAAGTTTGGCATGAAATCATACTTTTTATGTGCTACCAATCTGAGATATTTTGGTGCTATTTATAATATGCAGAGGGCATTGAAGAAATAAAGTCAAGTAGTTTCTAAAATAGAATTTAAGTGTGCATACAGATACACTGTACAAACCAGATAAGGCATTAATATTCTTTCTATTCTCCTGTTCAAACACACGTTATTACTTTTACATGAGTATTATTAATAATGAGTATATCTTACTTTTCTTGTGAGGCCAAATGATATGTAATGATTTTGACATTATTTAGGAATGTGATTGCATCAGATGGGACAGTTATAAATTATAACCTCATAGATTCCCAGATCGATTATTAAGGAAAAAAGCCAATGGTACTATGTGTTCTTCAGCGCACACCAGCCCAAGAGATCTCAAAAGCGGTTAAACTCAATATGCCCAACAGTTGCCAAGAAAAAACTGGATATTTGATTGAAACATGTATTTCCCATGGGTCTGAGGGGTCCGTCCAAAAAGTGCACTGTGCGGGATTGCAGTGGTCCTCCGAGATTAAAGATTTAATAAAAGAATTCCACTGATTGGGCAAACAGTTATGCTTTATGTAAAACAGCAGAAAGAAAAACGCAAAACAACAAGCTCATCATTTATGAATAACAGCTGTGGTCCTGGACATATCCTGCACAGATTTACATATTTTAAGACGACAATAAACAAGATTATGTTGGCCTAATATTTCTGAATATTAAAATAGGAAGTTTACCACAAGTTATAGTTCATTTCATGTAAAAAAAAAAAAAAAAAAAAACATATTTGAGTGTTCAAAAAGTGCTATATAAGTTTGATGTATTATTAGTAGTAGTAGTATTCAGTCAGATTGAGTCGTGTCATGATTTAGCTCTCATCTTTGCTATTATTTTGGTACTTTTTAATGACAAACAAACATGTATTCAGATGCCAGTAAACTGAAACTATAGATATCTCTGATGATGGTTCCAGGAAACTGATGGAGTATCCGGCAAGTAATTCAACTGTATTTAACTAATGCATTGTATGAATATTATTATTAAGCTCTAACATTTACATCAAGGTTGGCACAACATTTTTGGTCACTTCACATGGTTCATGTGTACTGTCATTAAAGGTCTCATGACAGTACACATGAATCAGCTGTAACCCGAGATGCTTACTGTATATGTAACCTGAGGTACACATGGACAGAGTGTACTGTACTGCACATGTTGTCAAGACAATTATACAAAACAAATACAACCAAATAATGCTCTGAGTATACGGTCATAAATCTGAACAATGGGAAATCCATGCGTTATTAAACCCTATTGAAACTGGATAGAGACAACAACAGTAGTCCTAAACAGATTAAGGGAAAAACAGGCGTAATAATTTGATTTTGAGGATGGAAAAATAACTAAATGAAAAGTACAGCTAGGACATGGAAAGCTGATTGACAGGTAAAATGAAGCAGCACTTGCATACAGTAGATATTCGTTAAACATAGTATTTCCTCAGTTGACAGTTGACAATTAAAATGGCTGGATAGAATTTTAATAAAATCATTGTAATAAAATGCAGGAACAGTGACATTTTGCCCTCCCCTAGATGTAGTAAAACAATTCAACAACTTTAGAGTGTTAGATTAGATATCACTCTGTATTTAGATGACAAGCATTTCTGTCACGTATGGAGAAACAAGATAACT